ACTTTGATATACTAAATGAAATGTTTTGATCGAAATCGAATAGTCACTTATACGATACGATATACTTCCTTCTGATCGAATCCAGAGCCAATCCGACCAGCTCTACTCTGATTATACCTTAGAAAAATTTCAAAGTTCATTTTTCTACTTGTACACTTTTTGTATAAATCAAATCTTGTTTTTTTTGGTCTCTTGCTTCCATTTGATATTAATTTACAGAACAACAAGTAGTCCCTTTTTATTTCTCTCATATAAATCGCACTTCAGATTAATAAATAATCCCTGGGATTTTAGGCAAATGGTGATATGAAGAAAGTTGTTTTTTTCGTGTTCTACATGTAATTATTGGGGTGCTCGGATAGTAAAAAAAATATTGTTTTCGAAAGGAAGTAAGTAACGCACAGTGTTTTTTACTGTCCATTTACTCAACGATAACTTTTCAAAAACAGTCGCAAAGAAAACTAAAAAATAGTTTTATGTCAAAAGAACAACTGGCAAATGAAAAAATCATGGCAATAACTAAGAAGGAAACATGTAAGCCTTCAATATAGTTGAATATCACATTCATTCAACGATCGATATTTATTTTTATCAATATAAATATGTATCGCATTACTCTTTTGAAAATTAGACAATTAATATCAAAGGATCTAGTGACCGTTTTGAATCCGACTCTCTTCAAAATACTAATATTTAACTTTTGAAATTGAATAAAATCACTTCAGTGATAGTGGCCTACTTAAATTAACTTTGTTTTAAACGATTTTCATTATGCAATCGAAGTAGACGTAAAGTAGTGACGATTTTTCACCGGTTCATCGATAATCTCTATGAAATGGTGAATAATATTCGTTAATATTTCCGCAACATTTCTCGTTTATCATATTTTAAAAGAGCATTCAGTTCAATAAATATCGAGGTCCTGGCAAAAATTTATAGCTATCAATTTTTAAAGATTTTAGTGAGAATTAAAACAAGAACTTAATAGAATTATACGTAGCTATTCATTACTTTTATAGAAGAATGTTCTCAAGATTACAATCGATTTCTAAGTGAAAGCAAAAGCTGCTACTTTCACGTAGCAGAATTTTATCATGTGTCTGTGAAGGTCTTTGAAAACTAACTGAAAAGAACTTAGTAAGATTTTTCAACAGAACAAACAAGTAATAGATACGTTTAGTATTGATCTGTAGACTTTCAGTTGATAGATTAATTGGCTCTTGTTATGTTATATTATTCAATATAAGTTCAATTTTTGATATTTTAAATTCTGTTTCATATGTTAACTTATTTTGACATTTGAAGTAAACACAAAATATTTTTTTAAAATTTGAACATTTTGAATATGTTTTTTATTCTATTATTTCTATATTCGTTTTTCCATTTCAGTTAAAATATAAATCTCTAACTTCTTTTCTTATGCATAAATTGAATTGAAAACTAGTTTTATTTGAGCACTTGTTTATTACAAGAAATAACTGTTTGTTATAAAAATAGTGCAATACATAAATAACAATGAAAAGACTGATTTTTTTTGAAAAAACTTTAGTTAGCCGAAAGAATCGTCTTTAGAAATACTATTGATATATTGATTTTAGTGGATTGTTGTCATCGATTGGCCGACTTGGAAAATGAACGTTCTAATAGACAAGATTATACTCTTGCTTGGTTGGATACCAAAGTAGACAAACGTGATGAACATACGAAAAAGTTAGTGAGAAAATTGAATGATTATATCAAAATCTTTACTGATATTATTGAATTGTGATCAATATTTACATAATAAACGTGATCCTGTTTTTCTTATCATATCTGGTTCATGTGCTACTCAATGTTTACCTCGTATTCATAATCTACCTGCTATTGATTCGATATTTATCTATTGTGCTTCGCCATCAAAATATAAAAAAATGATCGATACGAATACAAAAGTAGTTAGTTGTGTGTCAACTGAACGAGAACTTTTGAATCAAGTGCATTGGTGGACTGAATTAAAATGTTCAACTCAATTTTACACATGTGGAAATGGTTTTAAACGTTTGACACGTGATTCATCACTTTTTCTTGCCTATTTCTTGGTACTCAATGGAATTCCTGACGGTAGTACTAAAGAAGATATGGTAGATGTTTGTCGAGCTTATTATGCTGAAAATACAATTGAAAATGAAAATATTAATGAATTCGAAATAAATTATACTCAAGATCAAGCAATTGCATGGTATACGAAGAGTACATTCGTCTATAAAATGTTAAAGAAAACCTTACGTCTTTTCGATTTGAATAAGCTCTACGCGTTTGCTTTTTATATTCGTGACTTACAAAACCAACTAGAAAACTGGCATTATACTTCGTCGAAAACATTTTTCGTCTATCGTGGATTAACTATGTCATTAGTTAATATAGCTCAACTTCAAGCTAATGTAGGAAATCTTGTTGCACCAAATGGTTTCTTATCAACAAGTCGAACACGAGATATTGCAATGAACTATGCCAGAAAACAAACTATTCTTGAACAAGGTGATAATTTCTGTAATGTTCTTCTAGAAATAGAGATTGGTACAGATGTTTCTTCATCTTGTATTTTTGCTGATGTATCACATGTTAGTGCTTTTCCAGAAGAGCAAGAAATTTTGTTTTCTATTGGAACAATATTTCGTATAAATGAAGTTAGTTTGTCATCTCAAACGGGTATTTATATTATCAAAATGAAAACAGCCAATTGCAAAGAATATGCTCTTGTTGACAAACTTCTTACTATTGCACGAGAAAAATTTGATGAACATACAAATCAACAACTTATTCTCAAACTACTTCAATATGCCCAATCATTTTCACGTTATCAATTTAATTTTGATCGATCATGGACATGGAGTGATATCAAAAATGGAATGTATGCTACTTCTCATAGAGCTGTAAAAGCTTTAATTTCCGGAGCTTATAGATTTACTCGAACAAACTATTTACAATCAAATACAACAACAACATTAGAAATTACAGGTCAGAAGCATATTAAATATTTTAAATATGTATAGGTTGATTGCATAGGATCAAATAACATTGAACCTGGCTTTTGCTTTTATTCGGGTACTTCAATATTACATACACGACTTCGAACTGATGTCGATGATGATAAAAATTGGATAAGTAGTGGTGAATTTATACGTATTTTGGCTTCTTCCGATTTTCAAGAATATCCTCGTACATATTTTGTTATTTCTAACGTTCAATTACCATCTTATCTTCTGATATTGGGTTCTAAATGGTTACATATTTATTATAATAATGGTGATGATGATGATGAAGTTAAATTTGATCAAGTTTATTGTCAATTTATTCATGATTTGGCACAATACTATCGTGAAATTGCTCAGCGAATTCTGCGAGAGCAAAATGATCGTGAAAAAGCAAAGTATTTTCTCGTCAAATCGACTCGACTATATGAACTTTTAGAAAAAAATGCTGATGAAAGAATTAAACGTTTCTCTATAATATTTTCATCTGAAATACGGAAAAACTAACTTATTTTTCATCAGGTTTGCCAAATATTTTTTTTTTATCTACGTCATAAATAAATAATTTAAGGTATATAAAATAAACATACATTTTTAAAAGCTTGCATTGTTAAACTTTTAGTTAATGACTAATGAATACTTCATTTTTCTATTTTAGATATCATCGACGACATAAAATTTAATAATCACATCGAACATCAAACATTCTTTGATAGATTAAAAATTTTATTGGCGCATGAAAATTCAACTCGTACAATTTCGTTTGAAACATCTTCCCTTTTTTGCCTGGGTAAGTTAAAATATTTTCATAAAAATTTTGTTTCTCAACTTTTGTCGTATCAGTTGATACTAAAAGTTATTTAGAGATGTCAGATACTCAGTTAGGAGAGACTGCTCCACTTGATTTATTCGATGATCAAATAGAGGCTATTATTTTGGATCAAAATGGCGAGATATCAAATGCTGAGCAACAACTAAAACCGTTCGGTTCTATTGTAAAAATAATTGAAAATTTAAAAATATTAAAAACATTATTGAAAAATAAATCTGAAAAAACAATTATTTTCATACTAATTCTTCCGAATGGAAGTCGAAGTGATGTTATAGAATTTCTAATTAATGAAGAATTTCGACAACAATCAATACATTCATTTTATTTGTTTTTCATTAATGGAGAACAACATGAAGCCGAACTACGGAAGCATTTTCCTCAGCTATCTATCGAATGTTATTCTATAACAGAACGACGTTATGATGAAATTCAAATGGTCTTATCAAGTGCATGTGATCTGAATATTAAATTTTGCTATCGACAAGCAGCAAAAGAAGAAGCTCAAGATAACAAAGGTCTAGCATTCATTTATGAGCAACAACGTCGAAATCTTATAATACTTCAACGAACTTTTAATAATTATCTTCTCAATGAAATTGATAATCACTGATACTAAATCTGGGTTGAATATTGCTCGATGCAATAGATATTATTTGTTCGGCGTCATAATCCTTATTCATTAGTGGACTAAACATGAAATATAACGTCTTTTTTTGACTCTCATTAATTCTTTTTTCGTTGTCATAATTAAAAATTTATAAAATTCAACATCTGAATAAAAACATCAATTTTGACAAAGAAAAAAATTTTCCTTAAATTCTCAAATAAGACAAAGCATAATAAAAAAAACAAAAAGTAACAAGAGATTTTCTGTTTTTACAGTTGTCAATATAAATTCAGAATGCTCCAAAGATATGTTTGAAAGCTTGTTACTTTCGTTATATGAACATATTTTTAGTAATGACCATTTATGTTCTACTAATTTCTTTTGTAAAGTTGATTAGAAAATCACTATAAAATATTTATATAAGTAGAATGAGATATAACATCAAACAATTAATATTCATTTGTTAAACAATCAACAGAGCCTTTTCTCTATCGTTATCCTATGTTCTTCAAAACTTATCAACTCTACTAATTGTCCAAAATCTAGAAGATGAGTCAGACGTTCAGTCATATGGTTTACATCAAGACAGCGAACAATAAATTTACCAACAGTCTGAAAGAAACTCTAGTGAGTGCTAATCTAACAATTAAGTAGTGTGACATTTACGATTGTTAACTAAGTAAAGTCATTTACATCAATCATTACTTTTCTACGTTGTTTTCTACTCATCTTTTCTTTTTTATTGTTCATATTGAAAGAAATCACTAAAGATCTTATGTTGTGAAAAATGCCATTTGTGTTTCTGTTCTTTTTTTCAGTATTTTTCCTGAGAAATGTTAAAGATGATTTCATTAAATCAGTTACTTTTATCAAAGTTTTGGTGGTTTTTTTCTATTATCGATATGTTTATTATTAATGTAATCTTACATCATTAAACACTTTTAAATAACTTTATTTATTTTATCTAAGTCCTCCTTACAGTTTCATCCGATCTTCAGAAATTGTTCGAAATCAAACACATTGATATCAGCAGAAATATTATGTTTTGAATAGGAATATACAAATCATGATAAGAAAAGATGATTTTCGTAACTTTCACAAAGTATGTTTTCTATATTAAAGAATGTATAATGAATGAATAATCATTTTTTATCATTATATGCTGAATAGGAAAGTATATGTTTTGTCATGTAGAGACATCTCTTCTCTCACAAGTAACAATTCTTCAGATAAATCAATCTTAAAAAAAAAGATTTTTGTTTAAAAAAATAAACTGAATTTATTTCTTGTTCATTTATTTCAAATAAAAGAAGAAATCTCATTTACATAAAGAGATTGATTATCTTTGTCATCCAATCATCAATCATTTTGATAATATTTTGCTTTTTTCTTGTTGTTTAATCGTCACTTTATTGATAAGTTGGTATTGTAAAAAACAAAAAAAGAAAATGTCAACACTTCCTGATGATTATCAACCACCCGATCCACATACTCTTTCAACAGGTCCATTAGATACAAGTACATCATCATATGGTTTTTCTCATACAATGATTCGTATAAAAGATCCTCATGTATCACTTGATTTTTACACACGTATTCTTGGAATGACTCTTATTCGTATAATGCCAATGCCTACTGGTAAATTTACAAATTACTTTTTATGTTATCCTCAATCAGAAGTACCAGATAAAGATAATCATGATAAATTAATGCAATGGTTATGGCAACAACAAGGTATTCTTGAATTATGTCATAATTGGGGAACAGAATTACCTTCAAGTGATTTTGAAGGTTATAAATCTGGTAATGAACCTGAACATAAAGGTTTTGGACATATTTGTGTATTTGTTGATGATCTTCATCAAGCTTGTGATCGTTTTACTAAATTAGGTGTACAATTTAAAAAACGACCTGAAGATGGTCAAATGAGACATATTGCTTTTATCTTAGATCCAGATCGATATTGGATTGAAATTATACAAAAAAGTGCTGGAGATAAAGAAAATACTAATAAATAATTATTTAGTCCAGTTATAAACTATACATTTATGAGATGAAACAATTATTTATTATTCAAAAATTTTTATTGTGCTTTTTTTGATCGACATTGTTTTCATCTATTATACAACGGTTTTTTTAATGAAATAACAAGAGAAATAAATATAATGGAAATGATGAACAATTCAATTGTTCAAAAATCTTTTTTAAATTTTATCAAAAATAAAAATCCATATAAAAAAGAAAAAAAACTTCAATGTTCACATTGAATATGTTTGATATGAACATTCAAACACTCTATTTCGACTAGTCTGATACACGAAGAAATATTTATAATCATGTTCTATTAACCAAAGTTGTATTCGTCGGTTAAGAAATATTTGATAAAAACGTCATTGGTCTCTGATAAAACTTGTTGAGAACAAAAGATTGTTTGCTCTTATCAAAATAATAAAAAAAGCATTGTTTTAAGAATTATCAGTTTTATTTTTTTTTTAAAGTTACCATCAAAACAGTGTTACTTGAGCTAAACTTCTATAATATATGTTTTAGTTAAGATCAAATATAGGTTTGAATTGTCTTTCAAAGAGAAATGTTAGCTTTTTCTGAGAAGACTTTTTGTACAAATATCTTATATTCATCTTTGAGAAATCTAACAGATATAAATGACTATAATATAATATCTCTTCATGAAGACTAGTAAAAACTTGATTGATTTAAAGATTCTCAACTGGTTATAAATCTACTATAAAGTTAGTTTTTTATAATATTAATCTAAAATAATGTGTGACTATCATTTTGAATAAACTTTATTAAAATGTCTGAACAAGTTGATTTATATTGAATGTTTTAGAAATTAAAAATGAACAGATTCTACTGATAATTTCAAACATTTGAGAAACTCATTTGCTTGTTTATTGTTTCTAAATGATGGAGACAGATAATCATTAATCTCTTTCAAAAATGTTTTTTTTTTCTTTCTTAGAACTCGACGTATGTCAAATTCTTTTTTCGTAGTAGTTAATCAAAGACAGTAATATTTCATTGTCTTTCAATATTATTGAAAATCTTCCTAAATTGTTTTATTAAAATATTGATTTTGTAAATATTGAATTATTCTGTTAAATAAATTCATTTATCAGAATCAAATATATCTAGGACAAACAAAATGTGATTTCACCAATCTGTATGATCATTTCAATAGGAATTAAATATTTCTCATTGTAAAAAACAAAAAAAAAAAAACGAACGAAAATAAAAAACTTTTAATTACATGTAGGAGGAGACGATGTTCCACGAAAATGGCCAATAGACTGTCCAGGTATAATAGTACTTCTATGTCTAACTAAACGCATTCGAACAATTTGTGCAATTTCTTCTTGTTGTGATTTAGTTCGAAATAAATTCATAAATCTTTCAAAACAATATAATTGAAAATAACGATAAAATAATTTTCGTATTTCATGTCGAAATGATTTTCCACTTAAACAATAAACATAAAAATTTAATGAACAATTAGCTAATATAACAACACTTGTCGAATATGATAAAAGAGGATTCGATGTTGACCAATGAACAATTGATGCTGTTAATGATGAAAAACAAAAAAGAAATGAATGAATTATTAATACAATATTCATCCATGATGTACGTGGACGATTATGTACTATTAAACCATCAACACCATCTTTACTTTGGAATGAACCACGATAATTTGCACGAACATTCATTGATGGACCATTTGATGATATTGTAGATGTTGATATAACAACATGAATAATAATTCCAATATCAAAAAAAATAACCAATAAAGATGGAATTATTTCTGAAAGTATTGAACGTAATGTTGTATAATTGAAACCAAATCGGACATCAATAAAAAATGTATTCCATGACGTTGATATTGATTCTTTTAAAGCACATAATGATCGATATGAATGACTAGTTGTTAAATCTTCATTTTTCAATGTATATCCTTCTTGATATGAAGAATTTGATAATCTATGAAAATATTTATAGTAGTGAGTCTATTGTCTACAAATAAGTAAAATTATTTTTCTATGTTTTTTTTTAATACACAGAAGTACACAATCTATTATAATACATCTAGATGTATTGGAGAAAATATTTTGTGTTATTGATAATTATTGAGTCTCAAGGAGAAATCTGATATGTTCAACATAATTTAATTAACCATTCGTTTCATAGAATAATTCATTTTATCATGAAATAAATAAATTCCACATATATATCACTTACTAATGACATATATATCTATATAAACTATTCTACAATTGAATAAGTTAATCAAAACTATTAGTTTTAAATTAAATTTTCTATAATATAGAAAAATATGTAATTCATATTGATTATCTATTCTACCATATTGTGTCTTTTTTTTTTGTTAAAAAATAATTATAATCTATATATTTATGATTTCTATGAATTTTCTCTGATTATTCTTCAACAAGATTTATTTGCATAGATTAATCTTCATTAGTTATGAAAATATTCCAAAAAGCAAATCGTACTATTTACGTCAAATACAATATGTTCACTTAAATATGAGACGAACATAGAAGAATATATTTCAATGGGTCTTTTTTTGCTTTACGGTCTTTTATTTTTTTGATTGAATTTAATTTGCAAAAAAAAATACCTGAAAGATGTAGTTGATGTTATATTTTGTTGAAATTTAATTTGATAATTTGAATAAATACTTAATCTTGATTCATAGAAATAAACAGTTGGTCCAGTAAGAATTCCAACAATAATTAAAGAAATAAATGCCATAAAATAAAATTTATATCTTTTAACAAATGGACGATTTGTAAAAAATCTATAATTTATTGTAACATAAGTAAAACGTTCATATGTCCAAGCCACAATAACTAAAGCTGATAAAACACGTAAACAAGATGAAAATCTATATAATTTACAATTAAACCATGATTGACCAACTTTATATGTTAACCATCGACGTGCATTTGAATGTAATAATAATG